GTCTAAATAATCAACGCTTAGGTGTCAAACGTTGAGCAAGTATGTTAGTGGCATAGTGTACAAGATGTCAGCAGTTAAGTGGTAGACACTTAGTACAGCCCCAGAGCAGGGAATCTGAATAGTATGAGTTTAAGTGCGGACGAAACAACCAAGTGGTAATCCTGATGGGGCAGCAACACCGAAATCGTTCATCGCGAATAACGAGTTTTGGATAGGACTGCGAGAGCGCTAGTTCGGACGAACTACTTGAACAGCAGGTCTGGTATGTCGAAATTTACCTACACCGTTGGAACACACTAGCCCATTATCAATATTCGTGTTCGTAGATTACAAACTCGTTGCCATCATGCTGAATGTTACCTTAATATTTAATGTACACCTTCTTCATTTGTGATGAAAGCACTGATGTACCTCATGCGATTAATATGGTCTACTAGCTGAAGCATCATTTTGTTGACTCCTCGGTCAACATCAGACAATTGCGTAGATGATTCAACCACAGTATATTGGTTCGTATTTATTCTGGCAGGAATTATGATTACATACTATTGTCCGTTTAGTAGCCTTAACTCCACCTCTTAATGATTGGTGGTTACCACCCATTGGCTAGCGTTTGCGTTGAGCAATAACCTCCTGCGTCGATAGTGAGCGCCTGACCGTCTCAATGTCCATTCATGTGCCTGTCTCTGTTAAGTTTACCAGCTGAATCTACTCTCATCTCGGCGTCATTATATCTGTAGCATGTTGCCATCCGGCTCAAGTTACTAGTCCGTGCGCTCGGAATTCGTTAGATTTCTAAACCACTGCACCGGTAACGTAAAGAACTGTTATCACTGTACACACTAAACACGCATAGTTTTGGTAGATTGGGAATTTACAGGCATACTTCCGGTACAACAGAACATAACTAATGTCCACGGTTACCTCCCTTATTTAATTTTCTTCTTGATTAACTATCGTAAACGCGTTCGCTGGTGAAGATCCGCTAAACCTGAAGCGGCTTACTGGAGATCGACATCATGACTTCACTATGTCGAGGACATTTTCAATATAGGTAACAGCGCGTGAATGTTCGGAGCTTCACTGAACAGGTCAATACTGACTGACATTCACTTCAGGCTATGCCAAACACCGTCGATAACTAAAGTCGTTCTCTAAAACTGACAGGGAATCACCTCGGTGTTGACGCTTGGTGGGTACCCCGCATCAGACACCGATGGTTTAGTCAAGCGTTGCGCACACCACCGCAGGACTCACACTGCGTACACACCTGAGCCAACCGAAGTATGAAGGAATGAAGAGGAGTGGAGGCCAAGCGATAATTTGTGGAAGATGTATGAAGTCAATCAATTAGAAATTGGCGACGGTTGGTAGTCACCTACAGCAGGGCTGGCTACAGTGGGCCACGACCACGTCGGGTCCGTTACGCGTGTTTATATGGCGGAGATTCGGACCGAAAATCAGTTGTGTCTGGTTGTAAATCGGCATCTCTCTTAACGGTGTCTTCACCGTACTATTACGCACTAGCATTCAGTGTAAACTACGATCTAATTCATTCCGGTTTTATATGGTATATACTAACTTAGTATATCATTTTGCATATAGCCTTACTTATTTTGTTGGCAAAATGTTTGGCTTAATCGCGCATAGTACTTATAACTAGATTGTATGACGATGATAATGAAGATAGAAACTTCAAAGTGAATATCTGAAAACTACGATATTGTATTCTTCAAAACGCTAACGATTTATAATCCGATACTGTAATTGTCAACAGCAGAAAGAAGTAAACGGAGACACGCTTGCACTTCATAGCGAAATTAACGGATGCACCTATAGCCAGGTCTGGTGTACAAACGAGGTGGCGGAAAGAGCCAAGTGAAATGCCGGTAGGAAAAAATATCAGAGGAAATTTAAAGCATTAGAAAACTATCGATAAATGTCAGAAGTAAAAAAATATAGGATTGCAAAGTAACTATTACACGTAAAAGTTCAAAAAGAACAGCTAGTACAATCTGATGAAACGCGATGAATAATTTAAAGCAGAAGGACGTAAATTTAACGTAAAGCAATGTCGCAAAGCATTAATGAAGGGCCAAAAACGCAAGTACAAATATCCCGAAACAATCAGCATCTCGACACGATAAGGTAAAACGTATTAACCACAAAGGTTAATGAAACGGGACTCCGAAGGAAAAGAGTAAATATGCACCAGCGAGATAATAAGAGCGGAATAGAGAAAAGGTTTAAATATAACCGTGATGAAATAAACTGAAACTAACACAAAGCGAGTAAGCTTACAGGTTTTACAGTGACTGAAACGAATGAATAACGGTGAGGCCATCAATATATTTAGAGCTTGGTAACTTCTATATGACAGACATGCGCCTCTGAAAGGAATAACGTAGCTAACTCGCATGAATCTTAAATTAGCCGCTAGTTTTGTTTAAATGCCGGGGTTGTCAGAAGGTCTAAGTTGGCCACGATAAAAGGTTTTATTTATGGGTTCAAATACGGTTCATTGAGAATAAGATGAATAGGATTATATACGTACTCAAACTTCCATCAATTCCTCAAACTCTGCCTCAGCAGAACTCGTCCAGCAGACGGATATTACCGCTGCGACTGTGAACAAGTCAGCCGCAAGCGAACGGATCGCTGCACAAAGCACTGTGGCTGTACAGGAATTAACCGAAACATTTACCGCGTGATCCACAAATACCCGTTTAAGTTATTGCCATTCTTCCTACCCTTTCTAATAATGCATCTGGGGAGTCGGTTGAAATGTTGTCTGACGTACCACAGAAACTGATTTTCCTCCTTTAAGTCACGTGGAATTCTGTGTGGTAAAGGTGTTGTTGTTGGCTTACGATTTTAAAGGTGCTGGAAATCCAACTACCAGAATATTCCCGAAAAAATTGTTTACACCATATATATATATCCCGCGCATGGCGCCAGCCGGTATTTCCAACAACAGCAAAACATCCCGTTTGGGACAATAAGTGTTCGCGATTTGAAAGGAAATATTATATCTCACGTTTAAGCTTAGAGATAAAGGCCAAATCATTCATTATTTCAGACGGAAACCCCCATAGTTAATGGTGAATTATCAAACTCAAATAGTTACAACTGAAGGGACGTTGATTCTATTTCTATGAAAGACATGTCAGAAATTTGCCGCTTTACATATCAACGTAGTTAACACGAGATAACTGCAAAATTGTTGCGCACAATTTCGCAGAAAACCTGTGGTCACTAGCGGTTCCTGGTGTGTCCGACTTCGACATGAATTGACCACATCCATAGGAGCATTTCACATCAAGCATGTTTAAGAATATCGCTGATCCCACATATCCATCCCTTGATTTTTCCAATCCTCAGCAGGACTCGTGCATCAGGCAGACAGTACCGTAATGACTGTGAACACATCAGCCACAAGTGAAAACACCTTACTGCAAAACACATCTGCTGCACTGGAATTTAGTGACGGATTATCAACAGGCACCACAGGTACTAGTTTAAATTGTTACTCATCTTCTTGTCACCAACAACTTATCCATCTATATCTTTGGTTGGAAATATGTGTGACGACTTATAGGTTTGTATTTAGTCAGGTTTTCGACACCAGTTGTTGTCCGCTTGATCATCTTTAACCTCCATCGTCACATATGCTTTTAAATCTTTGTAGATACGGAACAATGAGTTCTTTATTTTTATAATATGCAAAATGCATTTGCGTTTGTAGAATAGTTATTAACTCCCGTTGGAGGATTTGGTGTTTGTCCATTAACTTGATCGCCCACAAAACTTTTAGGACGTATGTAAGGAGATAATGTTGCGAAGCTTGAATTTTGTCCACTCAAAGAGCGTTGGTTGTGCGCAATTCTTGTAGGTATTGCAGCACTGTTTCTGCTGTGAGCTTGACGCTGGATAAAACTGATGGTGTGGTGACAGAAGCAGGAATAGCCTCCCACTAGGAACGCAGTAAGTACTGGGCCCGTAATGCGGTGGCTGACACTTTCGTTGTAAAAATATATCCACCAAACTTAGTGAGTGGTGGGATTTCATGCTGCGCCTTCCGACGTATATTCACGTGTCCGTAATGAAAATAATGTTTCGATCAGCATCGTTAAGCTTGCTCTGTCGGCGAGTTACGTTGACTTTACAAAGCAACCCAACTGAGTAATTGCGCTGAGCTACGTACGAGTTGCAATATTTGGAGCTAAGATTGTTCTTGCAAACGAGTCATGCGAGATCACTCAAGGTTGTAAATTGTCGTGCATGGTTTAGCGGAAAGAATTTTGTTTGGTGAATGAGACGATAGAAAAATGTTGACACTGATGCATTAGTGACTCGCAAAGGGATGCCTTTAAAGAATGTTTTCCAGGCTATTTCTGGGATGAACTAACTCATGAATGACCAATTGGCCTATTTAACGTGATAAAAAGCAATCGCTTGCATCTGCTGCATCTAGGGTTTTCAGGTCATGAATGTCAACAACTCCTGTAATGCGAACATGATTGCATTTCTCAGTTATCACAATACGAAATGCAGATACTAGTCTGTAATCCATTTCCGGAGTTGAATTGGGTGGTCTGGAAAATTCGGTCACCAGACATGTATTGTTGCCCTTCATTCACGGTTTGGAAAAGCAATGGTCAGTGCACCCCTTCCCGAATCATCAACATGCTCACAACGAAGGTTTGGTTTACAATAAATTATAACTTCCTCTCCCTAGCCGATATTTCGGGGAGATGCCATTCTGTGCAGAGAAATCTCAACGTCGGTAATTTCACAGCGCAACAACCTTTCGGTGTTCAATATGATACCTGGAGTATTGAAAGCGTTGCAGTGATGGAGTTCGAGCAAATTCCTAGTAGTTCTTTTAGCATAAATGTAATGTATGTCAGCTTCTCATTAACCGATATTGAATCATTGATCGTTTGAACAGGGTTGGCTATTGAGGCGGCGGATGATGGTACAAATGTTCGATTGTTTTAATGGGTGAGAACACGAAAGCTTTATTGGTCCGGTTCGACGCTCATGGAAAATCGGCAAAATGTAAGAATTTTGTTGGCAGTATTGGATTTATACCGGAGAACTCACGGAGCTATACGTAGTATAAGTGGCAAATAAAATGTAAATCCTTTTGGAATGATGGCATATGGGATGTTGTTTGCAACCTTGTCTCATTTTCGCCTAAACATAGATTGGTAAAAATGAGGAGCAACATTGGTGATATAACCACAAGTGAAATCGCTTACAATTAATTGTTTTGACCACGTTTTAGTGTTACTTGAGATCGTGCGACGAAATTAGTGCACCATCAACTCGGTTTTGAAGTTTATTATCCCAGTAGCACTGACGACATATTCCGGTAGGGTATTCCATGTTCTGCAAACAAGTAGGAAAAATAATTCCAGCGGGTTTCCATATGACTATACTGCTGTTCCAAACTGAGATCCTAGTCTCTCAAATCACTCTTGTGGCTGAGCTCAAGCAAGTATCGACACGCGCATGAGGGATAACTCAAAAGCTGTTAAGTAATAATGAGGTCGTTGCTCCACCGCGCATTCCTTGCGCTGAAGACCTTGAGCACTTGAAATCTTTGATCAGATGGCAAATACTACAGACCCTTGATTGGTTGCGCGCCGTTGGGGTATCTCCTATACCATCAGATTTCTCCTCAGTCATGGCTGCCAGACCTGTATTGAAACAAGAAAACAACTAGCATTCCTATGGTTCAGCGTGGACTCTGTTGTGCAGACAACTGCAGTATAATGCTGAAGATCATTATAACCTGTTCCAGCTGCATTAAATCGTACTGCTTGCAATGTGCAGGCAAATCTGTCCAAGAAGTGAGACAGACAAACCAAGTTGCTGACACAATTTGTTTTTGTCCATCATGTCAAGTGATTCCAGTTGTCAACTGTTTATCATTGCTAATGAAGAAATGCGATAGGATGACTGGAATAATCGCACAATTTGTAAATACTAAGGTCGCACCCTCGAAGGTAAATATGGCCACGATAATACCTCACCCGGTCAAAGTTAGTTCTGCGTCTAAACCGAAGAAAGGTGCTAGACGATCCAACCACACTGCAGCCTCTGTGACTCTAAACCCACTGGGTCACCTCACTCCCATCAGTGGGCAAGCTTCAAACATGCCTGCGTCCACTTCTCCAACCATAGACGCTTCACTCGGAGATTACGCCATGACACCGATAGCTCACAGCCGAAGGAAATCCGGTGCAGATAACAAGCAGGTAACGTAGGCATCGATGGCCTCAACAAACACACCGGGAGCGACACACACAAGTTCATCTTCAGTACCGAGCACGCGTGGCCCAAAGCAGCTTTCACTGTCAACTCCAGTGGTGCCCTCTAAACAATGTGAATTGCCGGCAAAAAGTATAAAGCCAACGCTTGCTAGACAAAACCACGCTGCGCTAACTCTCGTGTACACCAATGTTCCCGAATCCAAATCTGGCTCAATAAAAGGCAAGTTGCAAGACGATCGCAACCAGTGGAGTTCCATCTGCGAGGCGATTGGTATTCGGGTTGAGCCTGCAATGCTGCAACGCGTAGCAGTTCACTCGACCTCAGCGCACTCTGGTGAACATCGAATTCTTCGAGTAACTCTAAACTCAGCAGATGAGACAGAGGCTGTCCTGCTCTCAGCAGTTCGTCTTCGCAACTCACCGAGCGGAGTGCGCATTTTACCTGATCTACCTTGGAAAGACCGCGCAAAAGAAGCTGTGGAGCAACGCAGTATTGCTACTAGGGATAGCAATAAAACAATATTTGTTCATGGTGTTCCCCAGCTCCTGCATGCCTTTGATCACGATGCACAAACACATGATCGAGAGCAGTGGTGCTACATCCGCGAAGCACTCTGTGTTAACAATGTTATTGCCAAATCCCTAACAAGAGTTCCGTTGTCACCTAACTACAAGGGCTGCAGTCCAAGGCTAATGAAGGTAATACTACAATCTGAGGGAATGACGCAACTTCTGTTGGATAGCTGGTTAAAGTTTCGAGCTAGGTTGCCAACAGAAATACGGCTAAAGGCAGCAGGCGAACGACCAAAAGTCGGAAGAAATTCGATGGAACTTGCAAAACCTGCAAATCCTTTATTTACACAGTCCTTCGGAGAGATCGACACAACAGCGCCCACGGCACATAACAGGACAGAGCACAGCACGAGTGAACCATCAGTTCAGGAACGCTCAATAATATCATGTAACATGACTGAAATACACAAACCAAAAAACGATTAATTGCCGGCCCCCTAACGGCCGGCTTAAAAGCGAACACAAACTTGACATCCACCGATGAACTCCTAACCACAAAAGCCCTATCTTGCATGTACACAAACGCTCAAGGCCTTCGAAGCAAGCTGGCCGAACTTAGAGAACTCCATGCCTCACAACCGCGGGACGTCGTCATGATTACAGAGACATGGTTAAACCCTGAGATAACCGACTGTGAGATCAAGTTACCCGGTATGTCGCTGCTTAGAACCGATAGAACCGGAATGGGTGGCGGTGTGATTCTTTACTATAATACAAGCCTTCGATGTGAAGTTATCAATCACCTGGAAATCCGAGCTCCCCATTCGCTTTGGTGCCGCCTTTGGTTACGAAACAAGGACACATGTCTACTAGCCGTGGTTTACCGCCCGCCAAACTCAACGTCGGAAATGGACTCCAAACTGTACCACGTTTTTCAGTTTGCTTTAAACAAGTCCTACACCCACATTCTTATCGCGGGAGACTTTAACGTGCACGACATAGAAACGCCGGCAACTGACGGTACGCAGTTTAAAGCCTGTTTGCAAGAACTTATTGCTAGCCACCCTCTTTACAACCACGTAAACTCTCCCACCAGATTTAGAACTTCTAACAAGCCGTCGATACTGGATCTTGTGCTAACTAACGAAGAACTCATGGTTGGCGGGATAGTTACAAGCCCACCACTGGGTCGTAGTGATCATGCCACTCTACTCTTTGATTACATATGCTATGCCAAGTACCCGGAAAAGGAGGAGGATAAAGTGCACACTGTCACGCACTACAATGTGTTGTCCAAGCTTGTTAAGGATACATCTTGGACTTTCTTATTCGAATGCCCCCCAGATTTGGCCTGGGATATGTTTACAAGGACTTTGAGCACACTGGTAGCGCAAGCATCGGAACAGAAGTCCTTCCAACCCAAAAACCAGAGTAAGTTATTTCTGAGGAGCAGAACACGTAAGTGTATGTCCCGAAAAGATTTGGCATGGCGAAATCACCAGGGTTGCCCGAATGCCGAAACCTGGACTGCATACGTGACACATCGTAACTTCTGTGTGAAACTGATCCGCGAAGACAAGATCACGCACCAGCAGAAGTTAATGAAGCGATTCTGCACTAACCACAAACTAATGTATAGGCACATTAACAGCCTTCGAAAGGTAAAGTGAGGGGTTCCGGCGCTAGTCACGGCTGATGGGTGCACGCGATCAGCAATGGAAGCAGCTGATCTCCTACGGATTCATTACCCCCAAACTTTCCAACAAGTGTCGAGCCCAAACATTCACTTCATTTCTAATACTCCACCATCTGGTTTAGAAAACATCACCTTCACTACGGAGGCTGTGTTGAAGAAGTTGTTATCCTTGCGTATCCACAGTTCTCCCGGAGCTGATAACATCCGACCAAAGGCTCTACAGGCAGTAGCTAGTGATCTAGCAGAACCACTGGCTGTTTTCTATCAGCGATGTCTAGAGGAAAACCTTATTCCACCAGTATGGAAGCAAGGGGTCATCACTCCTATCCATAAAGGAGGTAGCCGCACTGATCCTGCAAACTACCGTCCAATAATATTACTTCCCGTACTATCCAAAGTGATGCAATCAATCGTCGCAGACGCGCTGATGCAATATTTGGAAAGCCACAATTAATAGCCCCAGAGCAACATGGTTTTCGTCAAAAGCATTCTTGTAAAACTAACCTTTTAATTGCACGTAATAGCTGGACTGAAGCTGTTGATGATGGAGTTGGAGTCGATGTCATCTACCTGGACTTTTCAAAAGCGTTTGATCGTTTAGACCATCGAGTTCTCCTTCAGAAGCTTCGGAACTACGGCATTGGCGATCCAATCCTGAGTTGGATTAGCAATTTTCTACAAGAACGATGGCTAGTGGTAAGAGTCCGAGAATCATTTTCTCATGCAATCGACGTGACGTGTGGAGTACCACAAGGCTCGGTTCTTGGACCTCGTCTATTCTTGGTGTTCATTAACGATTTGGCGAGATCAATTACTTCGATTTCTTATTTTTCGCTGATGATCTCAAGAAATGGCGAAGGATCAGAGGACCGGATGACCACGAACGGCTCCAGCACGATCTTAACACGGTGTCGAACTGGTGAGTTCAAAACGCTCTACCGTTCAACGTAGACTAATGTCGCGTAGTACAATTATGCCATAGACATAACTACACCTACATACTTGGGACAAACGAATTGCAGAATAGCTCCCAGGAACGTGATCTTGGTGTGATCGTACAGAGCGACCTCAACTGTTCAAAACAGGCTGAGGTAGCTGCCAAAAGAGGCAACCAGCACGTCGGCATGCTGCGAAGGGCATTCGGGAGATTTGACCCATCAATCTGCCCAATGATGCTCAATTCCTACGTGCGCCCGCAAGTTGAGTACGCAATCCAAGCTTGGCAACCTTGGTTGAAAGGCGATCTAGAAGCGATAGAGGCACCATAACGGAGAGCAACAAAGAACGTGATGGGCCTGCGGTATCACTCTTACCACCGAAGGCTGAAGTTGCTGGGAATTTTCAGCGGACGTTATCGAAGGCTGCGCGGCGATCTCATATTAGCGTATCAGATATTGAGTGACCCCAACCACGTATGCCGCCATTTGCTGAAACTTAGCCACAACACGCAGCTCAGGGGTAACTGCTTAAAGTTGAAGGAACAATACAGCCGTATAGAGTGTCGACGGAATTACTTTTCCCTTCGAGTTTGCAAACCATGGAACGCACTCTCAGACTCAGTAGTAACTTCTCCTACCCTGGATGTTTTCAAACAACGATTAGATGTTGCTCTCAGCTCCCAACATTTTGTTTCCTAAGCTCCTCTGTTGTGGATTACGCCAAGCATGTTTTCAACAGGACTAATGTATCAAATGGACCTAAGTGAGCGACCATATTTCATTTTCTCACTCCTTACCTCAACTACCCATGCGCCCCAGTGTCTATCTGAATGTTTACGCGCGATATTTGTTTTTCATTTCACAATGATGTTAATTATCAAAGTAATCATCTCGGCAGACGTTCGATAGATGACCACACCTATTTTAATTGCATCATATTCACCGCTACCATCCTACGGGACGTGTTAAGCAATTCCCTTTATCTCGTGATAAATCATTGTTCATTGTTCATATCCTACATGTAGACATATGTATGAGCCGAGAACCTGTGGAAACATTGTAAGGTCTTAGCAACCGTATGCACGCTTCGTGAGGCTCAAGCATTGGACTTGGACCAAAGCTCCCCGATCCCTCTCGCCAGAAGACATGTGAAGCTCCTGCTTGCCGAGTTTGAAGGATTATACCAATTTATGCCGTAGGTGCAGCAATCTATATTTATCCATTGAGTCGAATAAGAACGTTGTGCTGACTAAGCGTTTACCCTATCCAGGTCAGCTTTAAGTACTGTGATATTAGCTAATGTAATCAACTCCATCCACACCTCCAAGTCATTGTTTTCAAGCAGGCAGTACATGATTATGAGGCGCGGGATATCGTTACTGCGCGTCAAAAAGAAATCGCGGTCCCAGTACCGACCCATGAGGTGCTCCGTATTCGACTTGGATGAGATCTGACAACGATTCACGCAAATGTACTTCCACGGGCTGGTGTAGAAGAACGTTTCTGATCCATCCTGAAAATGGATCACCAATAGCAAAGTCTGTAGTTTTAAGAGCATTATCTTATCGTCTAATGGGTCGGACAGCATGGCGAACTCGAGAAAAATCTACATGGACTCCTGTGCTAGAGTCTACTACTTCAGTCCAGCTGGATCGTTGTAGCAGTAGTATGTAGGGCATGTACGATTTCGTCGGAAGCCATGCTGTTCATATGCGAGATAGATAAATTCTTCCAATTGGGCGAATAGCGCATTAGAAATAATAGCTTCCATGACCTTTGAAAAAACCGGTTGTATGGATATGGGACGGTATATTGTTGGATTAGAACTACTAGCTCCGTTGGGAATTGGACTAATCATCCGTGTTTCCACATGTCTGGCACGTACACCTCGTCAAATCAGTGTTGGAAGGAACAAGTCAATGGCTCAGCTTGACTCATTCTTATCGCCGCTAGCGACTTCGGGTGTATATTATCAACTACAGTGGTGTTGTGCTTAGGAATAGTCAACCGCATTTTTAATACATCTTCTGCCTTACAGCAGACAGGATTGCGTTGTGGGGGTGAAGCAACCACTGGCATAGTGTTATGTGGCCAGGGCGTGCACTTAAAATTCGCAACACAGTGTACTTGCCTTCCGTGTGGATCCGTCCGCTGTTCGAATAGGAGGAATTCCCTGTTTTACCTTGCATAGGCTGTTGACATGTTGGGAGATTAGCTTGTCACTTGAGGCTAGATGCACCCCCAACTCTTACTGACACGCCATTCTGTCCGTGCGAGTAAGCTGAATGCACTGGCTATGTTGGGCTACCTAAGCCATCCAGGTTTCGGTTCCCGGAGAGAGTTGCTAGAGACGCGATATTTTGTTTCCCTCTACTATACTCTTGTGCCCTGCTTCGCAGAACGGTGATCACTTTTCTCGGGCGGAAGTTCTCAGTCGCTGACGAATCGGCAACCAAAGTTGAACTGGCTGATGTCTTGTTTGCCGGAAAGTTCCAGTTGGCTGTCTCTCTTTCTCAGCCTAATATTGCGTAGCGTATAAACATATTGTCCACGGTCACCTACCTTACATAACTTTATTCTTGACTAAAAGTTTGAAACGACGTTCACTGGACAAGATCCGCTAAACCTGAAGCCGCTTTCTGGTGATCGACCTCATTACTTTAAATATGTCGACGACATTTTTAAAGTAGGTAACAGCGCCTGAATGTTCGGAGCTTCACTGGACAGATCAATACTGACTGACATTCGCTTCAGGCTATGCCTAACACCGTTGTTGACGCTTAGTGTGTACCCCGCATCAGACACCGATGGCTTAGTCAATTGTTACGCACGCCAGCGCACCGACTCACACTGCGTACACAACTGGTGCAACCGGGGTGTGGATGGATGAAGAGGAGTGGAAGCCAAGCGATAAATTTTTGAAGATGTATGAAGTCACTTATTTCGAAAATGGCGACGGTTGGTGTCACCCGACAGCAGGGCTGGGTACAATGGACCACGAACACGTCTGGTCCGTTACGCGTGTTTATATGGCGGAGAATCGGACCCAATATCAGTTGTGTCTGGTTGTAAATTGGCATCTCTCCTAACGGTGTCTTCACCGTTCTATTACGCACTAGCATTTAATGCAAAATATGATCTTATTTATTTCGGTTTTATATGGTATATTCTAACTTTGTATATCATTTTGCATATAGCCTTTCATATTTTGATGGCAAAATGTTTGGCTCAATTGCGCGTAGCACTTATAACTAGATTGTATTTACGATGATAATGATGATAGAGACTTCAAAGTTAATACCATCAAACTACGATATTGTATTCTTCAAACCGCTAACGATCTATAAACCGACACTGTAATTGTTAACAGCAGATAGAAGGAAACGGAGACACGCCTGCACTACCTAACGAAATTAACCGATGCACCTATAAACCAGGTTCGGTGTTAAAACGAGGTGGCGGAAAGAGCCAAGTGGAAAGCCGGTAGGAAAAAATATCAGAAGAAATTTAAAACATTAGAAAACCATCGATAAAAGGCAGAAGTTAAAAAATATAGGAGTTCGCAGTAAATAATACACATTAAAGTGCATAAAGAACAACTAGCACAATCTGATGAAAAGCGATGAATAATTTAAAACAGACGGGCGTAAAATTAACGTTAAGCAAGATCGCACAGCATTTATTAAGGAACAAATACGCAAATACATATATCCCGAAACAATCAGCAACTCGACACGATGAAGTAAAAAGGAATAAACACCAAGGTTTATGGAAAGGGGCTCCGAAGGAAAAGAATTAATATGCACCAGCGAGATAATAAAAACGGAATAGAGAAAAGGTTTTAATATAAACGTTATAAAATATACTGAAACCAACACAAAGCGAGTAAGCCTTCAGGGTTTTCAGTGAATGAAAAGAATGAATAAATGTGAGGCGATTAATATAGTTAGAGCTTGGTTACTTCCATCTGTCAGACATTTGCCTCTGGAAAGAATAAAGTAGCTAACTCGAAAGAACATTTAATTTAGCCGCTAATTTTGTTTGCATGCCGGGGGTGTCATACGGTCCATGGTGTCTACGATAAAAAGATTTTGTTATTGATTCAAACTTTCTATATCTCAGAAACAGATGGATAAGAATATACTCGATCTCATGCTTCCATCCATTTCTCGTACTCTTCCTCAGCCGAACTCGTCCAGCAGACGGATATTACCGCTGCGACTGTGAACAAGGCAACCACAAGCGAAAGGATCGCTACACAAAGCACAATTGCTGTACAGGAATTTACTGAAGCATTTTCCACGTTAACCACAGGTACCCGTATAAATTATTGCCAGTCTTCCTACCCCATCTACTAATGCATCTGGAGAGTTGGTTGGCACGTTGTGTGAAGCATCACAGAAAATGATTTTCCTCCGTTAACACGTTGCACTCTGTGTTGTTAAGGGTGTGTTGGTGGCCTACGATTTTTAAAGTGCTGGAAATGCAACTACCAGAATATTCCCGAAAAAAATTGTTTACACCATATATATATATCCCGCGCATGGCGCCAGCCGGTATTTCCAACAACAGCAAAACATCCCGTTTGGGACAATAAGTGTTCGCGATTTGAAAGGAAATATTATATCTCACGTTTAAGCTTAGAGATAAAGGCCAAATCATTCATTATTTCAGACGGAAACCCCCATAGTTAATGGTGAATTATCAAACTCAAATAGTTACAACTGAAGGGACGTTGATTCTATTTCTATGAAAGACGTGTCCGAGATTTGCTGCTTTACATATCAACGTAGTTAACAAGGAATAACTGCAAAATTATTGTGCACAATTTTGCAGAAAACCTGTGGTCACTAGCGGTTCCTGGTGTGTCCGACTTCGACATGAATTGACCACATCCATAGGAGCATTTCACATCAAGCATGTTTAAGAATATCGCTGATCCCACATATCCATCCCTTGATTTTTCCAATCCTCAGCAGGACTCGTGCATCAGGCAGACAGTACCGTAATGACTGTGAACACATCAGCCACAAGTGAAAACACCTTACTGCAAAACACATCTGCTGCACTGGAATTTAGTGACGGATTATCAACAGGCACCACAGGTACTAGTTTAAATTGTTACTCATCTTCTTGTCACCAACAACTTATCCATCTATATCTTTGGTTGGAAATATGTGTGACGACTCATAGGTTTGTATTTAGTCAGGTTTTCGACACCAGTTGTTGTCCGCTTGATCATCTTTAACCTCCATCGTCACATATGCTTTTAAATCTTTGTAGATACGGAACAATGAGTTCTTTATTTTTATAATATGCAAAATGCATTTGCGTTTGTAGAATAGTTATTAACTCTGTACTTATCTATACAGTACAGCGCACCTAACTTTTGTTTTCTTCAAAGTGAAATTCGGCATGAAGGTAAGTGTACCAAACGAGGTAGGAATGTTTGGAAACACAGATTACTAGTGTAGCGATGAGGGTAGTGTGGGTACAATATCACCAGGTAAAATGAAACAACCACTGCATATGTTTCTTACTCATTGTATATAACAAGCAGATTACTCAACCCTCTGCACATTTGTACGTACGTCAACCTGGGTCATAATTGCAAAGAGACTAGTCAGCCTGAAATATATTTAGAATATCCGTACACGTAGCAAATTTAATGCATCAGATGTGATCTAGTTGAGATCTCTAAGTTGAAGCCAGTTAAGTCCACTGAGCACTGCGAGTATCTTAATTCGTTGATGGCACGGAACGTGGATCAAACCATTGATAGATTTCGTTGCTCAGCTTTGAGTTGTTTGAAGCGCTCCAAAATCGTGCTTAATCCAAATGTGCCAAGTCTTGATAGCATATTCTGCACAGGATCGTACGTAGCCATTACCCACCAGAGAGACCATGGTTGAATCGAAACTGCTCAGCGCCAACGGCAAGAGACGAACACGTAAAGCAACTCTTTTCGAAGCAGATTCTGTATGCCTGGAACAACGGAGACCGGGCATTATCAGAACAACGAGGTCGACTTTCTTGGACGTTGTCCGCAGTTCTTACGCTTCAGGTTTGTAGATGCAGGCGTGCCGATGACAGATGTGGACACTGCGGTACTTGTCCACCTAGAATGGATGTAACTTCCTCACCAAAACGTGCCAAAGCAAATAAAACTCCCGTTGGAGGATTTGGTGTTTGTCCATTAACGTGATCGCACGCAAAACTTTTAAGACGTATGTAGAGAGGAAATGTTGCGAAGCATGAATATTTGCACCCAAGGAGCGCTGGCTGTGCGCAGTCCTTGTAGGTATTTCAGCACTGTTTCTGCTGTGAGCTTGATGCTGGATAAAACTGATGGTGTAGTGACAGAAGCAGGAATAGCCTACCACTAGGGACGCAGTAAGTACTGAGCCCGTAATGCGGTGGCTGACACTCGTTGTAAAAATATATCCACCAAACTTAGTGAGTGGTGGGAATCATACTGCACCTTCCGACGTATATTCACGTGTCCGTAATGAAAATAATGTTTCGATCAGCATCGTTAAGCTTGCTCTGTCGGCGAGTTACGTTGACTTTACAAAGCAACCCAACTGAGTAATTGCGCTGAGCTACGTACGAGGTGCAATATTTGGAGCTAAGATTGTTCTTGCAAACGAGTCATGTGAGATCACTCAAGGTTGTAAATTGTCGTGCATGGTTTAGCGGAAAGAATTTTGCTTAATGGATGAGACGATAGAAAAATGTTGACACTGATGCATTAGTGACTCGCAAAGGGATGCCTTTAAAGAATGTTTTCCAGGCTATTTCTGGGATGAACCAATTCATGAATGACCAATTGGCCTATTTAACGTGATAAAAAGCAATCGCTTGCATCTGCTGCATCTAGGGTTTTCAGGTCATGAATGTCAACAACTCCTGTAATGCGAACATGATTGCATTTCTCAGTTATCACAATACGAAATGCAGATACTAGTCTGTAATCCATTTCCGGAGTTGAATTGGGTGGTCTGGAAAATTCGGTCACCAGACATGTATTGTTGCACTTCATTCACGGTTTGGAAAAGCAATGGTCAGCGCACCCATTTGCGAATCATCTGGGTGCACACAAAGAAAGTTTGGTCTAAAATAATTTATAACTTCCCCTGCCTAGTCTTTATTTCGGGGAGATGTCATTCTGTGCAGAGAAATCTCAACGTCAGTAATTCCACAGCGCACCAACATTTCCGTTTTTAATATGATACATGGAGTCTTGAAATCCTGGCATTGATGGAATTCGAGCAAATTTCTAGTAGTTCTTTTAGCATAAATGTAATGCATGTCAGGTTCTCATTAACCGATATTGAATCATTGATCGTTTGAACAGTTTTGGATATTGCGACGGCTGTTGATGGTACAAATGTTCGTTTGTTTTTAATGGGTGAGAACACGAAAGCTTTATTGGTCCGGTTTGATGCTCATGGAAGATCTGCAAAATGTAAGAATTTTGTTGGCAATATTGGGTTTATGCCGGAGAACTCACGGAGCTGTACGTAGTATAAGTGGCAAATACAATGTAAATCCTTTTGGAATGATGGCATATGGGATGTTGTTTGCAACCTTGTCTCATTTTTGCCTAAACACAGATCAGGTAAAAATGAGAAGCAACATTGTGATATAACCACATGTAAAATTATTTCATTTTGAATATGCTACGGTGTCACTTGATAGCGTGCGAAGGAATTAGTGTACGATTAACTCTGTTTTGATGATTATCAGCATAGTAGCACTGACGACATATTCCGGTAGGATATTCCATAATTTTATTATATATTGCAAGAAGAAACGCAAGCGGTACGCTTAAAGCGAACAATTGTTTTCGATTTATTCATCATCAGGCTTTGTACAGAAATATACTTTGAGAAGCGGAGTTCATAGGGGAAACAAAGAGTAACTATTGATTGAACAAAACATTTTAAGTGCTTAACGTAACGTGTCAGGTGGTCAGGTGACTGAAGGCATGTGATACCAATGAGTGAAGTCCGATTCATCTCTATTACTGGCTGGCCAGGGTAGTTGTAAGGCTTGTACATGTTGCTTCTGAATCCATAGGTTTGGTTTTGTCAACCTGATGCATACTGCTTCAGCGGTAGCGAGTAGCCGAGCTCCTGACCGATGGTGTAGCTGTGATGGAACTCGATAGATGATCTCAAAAGACTTGCGCTTATCAATCAGATGATTGGTGCAGATCAGATGGTCGGTTATGGCACTCAACTGAGTTTTCTCTCGTTGGGTGGCGAGTGACGTTGGTAAATGTTCCTTGATTCGCTTTTCCAAATGTCTGGTCGTGCGCCCAATGTACCTAGCCCCACAGGAGCAGGTAAACCGGTAGACTACCATTGATTGGCGTTGATCAGGCATCTTGTGTTTGAACCTAGGAACAAAGAGCGAACTGCTTGTAAAAACGATCCTCAGTTGAGCTGCATTAAAGGTCTTCCGGCAAGTCTTTATCAGTCGTCGTGTGCATATTTCCGCCGGTATGTCACCTTTAAAGGGGAGTTGGAGCAATAGCTGTTTCTTTTCCGCTGTTTGTACTGTTGGTTTTGGCCTACTCGACTTCAAATGAACGTCAATGAATTGTTCTGGATAGCCGTTTTCGCGAAGTGTTTGCTTGATTTGTTTCATTTCTTCTTCAATTGTGTCCTCACTGCAGATTTTCCGTGCACGATTGGCTAGTGTATGTACCAGTGTTCTTTTTCGGCTTATTGGTACAAAACTTCGGAAGTGTGTGTACTGGCCTGTCCAATACGGCTTTCGATAGACTCCTATCTGAATTGATCCATCGTGTCGTCGCTTTAAGTTTGCATCTAAAAAGTGCATTTGCTTATCCATTTCTTCTTCAATTGTGAATGTAGCGTTGGGATGTGCCTTGTTAAAACACCCGACGACATATTGCAAGTTGTTCGTCTGTTCAATTATGCAGAATATGTCATCAAGGTAACGTCGGTAGAAGCGTAAGCCCGAGATAACCGATTTTAGTGGGCCATCCTCTAACATTCCCATATAAACATCAGCCATTAGTGGTCCAAGAGGCGATCCCATCGCTACCCCATCTACTTGTCTGTACAATTCATTGTTGAATTGGAATTGGATGTTATAAGTGCATCTAAGTAATAGCTGCTTCAGATGGACAGTTGGTATTTCGATCTTTATCTTGTGCTTCTCAATGTAAGTACAAAGAAAGTTAACTATTTCTATAAGTGGGACATTCGTGAACAGGGATACGACGTCCAAAGAAAACATTCTGTAGCCTAAGATGTTCATATTTTTAACGTTTTCCACAAATTGAAATGTGTCTGTTAGTTGGTGAGGGGCTATTCTTTTCCTAATAGGATCCAAAATAGACGTTAACCACTTTGCGATGGTATGATATGGTGAGTTCCTCATATCTAATATCAGTCGCAATGGTGCACCTGGCTTGTGTATTTTTGGGAGACCGTAAAGCCTAGGAATTATGGAGCCGGTGGGTCTTATCCTTTCATATCTTTCTTTGGTTATGTGACCAGTGATTTCAAACACTTTGTCAGTTGTGTTTCGGCGTAATCTGTTTTGTCCTTCTCTCGTTCACATCGTACGAATTTGGAGGAGTCCGAGAGAATAAGCTTCATCTTTTGTACGTATTCTGTGCGGTCCATGATTACGGCTCCTGATCCTTTATCTGGCTTGGTGATAATGATGCTCTCGTTTTTTTGAAGTTCTCTTATAGCTTCGATGTGTGCCTTTTTTAGTAACCGGGAATGTGTCATGGGGTATCGTTGATACTGAAAGGAAATGTTGACCAAGTCCGATTTAAATTGTTCGAGATTGGTGTTGGAAGTGGCTGCTAAATCACTTGTCTGGCTATTAAGGTATTCAAATTGAGTTTCGATTTCTAGTCGGTGGTCATTACTTCGTGGATGACAAAATTTAAGTCCCAATGAAAGCGCCTGCATTTGTAAAGTGTCTAGTCGTTTACTGGACAGGTTGTGTACATATCTTTCCGGATTTGATGGAAATGTGTTCGGACATTGTTTCACGGTCAGCGTTTTCTGCAGGAGTACTCTCTTCTTGGATGTACGCTTGGAGGTCACGTTGC